CATCTCCTAACCCCCCCCCCATGTGACCCTACACACAGGGGGGGGAGTTTAATTTTTTTATATCTGGATCACATGATGATGTTTAGGATTTGTATATCTTTCTTTATTCTCATGGCCAGCTGTGGAAGATGGCCGCCAACTTTGTCCAAATGGGTTTACTCAGGTGTGGATAGAGCTGGGAAGGGCTAGACCATCTGTGTACCTACTGAGGAGACCTCCTCTCACTTCCTGTCATGGCAGGAAATAATGGGAACTTTGACTGGTGTCCCCGGTTTGAATTCAGGTTCAGTCAGGACACCATCTGCATGGAGTTCTCCCTGTGTTTGCGTAGGTTTCCTTCCACACTCCAGAAACATGCTGGTTGGTTATTGGTCTCCTGTGTAAGCTGTCCCTAGTATGTGTGGTAGGGCCCTTAGATTGTAAGCTCCTTGGGGGCAGGGACTGGTACAAATATATAGAATAGTAATATGATGGCGCTATAATATACCTAAAATACATAAAATGTGCAGTGAGGACGCAGACAAGCGAAGAAGGGTTAGAGCTTCACCCTCATGGGGCATTCTGGATCTCAAGGGTAACCAATGCTAAAAAAAGGGAAAAGAGTATTCCAACACAAACACACAGGTCCCGCCCACAGCTCTGCTCTCTCTCCTTGTGCAAGGTGACTGGTCTCGTCTCCGCCCCCTCCTGTAATGAAGGCCGGCCACTGCATCTCTCTCTCCTTGTGCAAGGTGACTGGTCTCGTCTCCGCCCCCTCCTGTAATAAAGGCCAGTCCCTGTAATAGGATCTCCCGTGCCCATCGCTTTGGGCCGCGGGCCGGCCTCTCCAACCAGCGGCGTGACGTCACTAGGAGACCGAGGCGTCGGACGGCGCGCTCGGCTCCTCCCCCTCCAGGATCTCCTCCTCCTTAAAATGACGCGAGTTGCAATAGCCCGGCGTTCTAGTGTTGCGAACGTCGAGCCAGTGCAACTTGCCTAAGACCTGAGGACACGTGAACCGACATCTCTGAGGCCAACCAGCCACTTCACCTCACACAACCGCCCTGCTGCTTCCATCGGATGCTTCACAGGGATCCTTCCCTGCAATCAGCTGACTCCTCATTCAGCTGGCCGCTGTGACCCCTCTCCAGGACTGCCTGGAATCCCCAACTGCAGCTTCCTGGACCAGCTACTGAATGCTTAAAGCCTTCTCAACTGCAAGTACCCCTACCTCTTGAGGCTATACTATAGCAAGTGACAGCGGTGATTCAAATCTGCATATCATTTAAAGTGATAACATCATACTAGTACTCCATTGCAATTGTATCCATAGAGCATTACTGCGGTTCTTATGCAAAGTATCTCGTTTGTCACCCTGGAGAGTGCGGGGTTAATCTGACTACAACTACTAATAGTACTCATAAGATTGATTGCTGGTGGGTTACCTCATATATGGGAAATACTACTAACATACCTACTGAGGACTCCCAACCTCCCATCCTATACTGTGATTGGCATATGATGTGCTAGAGGGTTCCACCATCACTCCTAAACATACAGAGTGCAACCGGGAACCCTTGACCTGAGCCAACTCACACACAGGTGCCTAGTTAATTCCGCAGCTGTGGTCCAACCTAACCTCCTGGGCTTACGCGTTACAGTCCCTGCATCTCTCTCTCCTTGTACAGGGTGACTGGTCTCGTCTCCGCCCCCTCCTGTAATGAAGGCCGGTCCCTGCATCTCTCTCTCCTTGTACAGGGTGACTGGTCTCGTCTCCGCCCCCTCCTGTAATGAAGGCCGGTCCCTGCATCTCTCTCTCCTTGTACAGGGTGACTGGTCTCGTCTCCGCCCCCTCCTGTAATGAAGGCCGGTCCCTGCATCTCTCTCTCCTTGTACAGGGTGACTGGTCTCGTCTCCGCCCCCTCCTGTAATGAAGGCCGGTCCCTGCATCTCTCGCTCCTTGTGCAGGGTGACTGGTCTCGTCTCCGCCCCCTCCTGTAATGAAGGCCGGTCCCTGCATCTCTCCTTGTGCAGGGTGACTGGTCTTGTCTCCGCCCCCTCCTGTAATAAAGGCCGGTCACTGCTGCTCGCTCTCCTTGTGCAGGGTGACTGGTCATGTCTCTGCCCCCCTCTTGTAGTTTCCTATAGCAGGTGTGGCCTGCTGGGTCTCGCCCACAGCTCTGCTCTCTGCACAAGCTATGTACAGCACAGTGATGATGTCACTGTATCCAGGTTTACAAAGGCATTTGTTGCATATAAAGTTGATTGATATCCACCCACCAGTCCCATTAGGCTTTGCAAGACTCTGACAGCCACAGGCATGATTTCCAGATGGGATTTGTAGTTTCACCACAGCTGAAGGGCCGAAGTTTGGCTCAAGAATGCAATGTAACACTCCTAGGGCAATGTCTATCGAGAGACTTTAGTTTATTTTCTGACAACAATAAAATATTTCACCGATGATGGTGGTGCGTCTGTGCGTGTTTGGATTCTTCAGGTTTTTTTTAATACCGCTTTCTGTGCCTAGCGACAGCCACGCCCCCATTTCTTGTCCTGGTGTCACAGGGACAGGAATTGAGGGAAATTTCACAGTGGGGTCATAGACGGAAATAATTGGCAGAAATTGTAACTCTCCCCCCACTCTATCCCAAAAAAACGAATTGGCTGGAGTTAAGCTTTAAGATGCGGTCCCTTCCGTCTTTTACAGGGCAGTCCACCCAAAATAAGATGGACTACAATCTCAATAAACAATAGTAAACTAAACGTGAGATTGTAGTCCATCCCAGGAGTGAGCTTGGAGCGGGACTATGTTACAACACACACAGGGACCGTGGGGAACAAGTAGCCCCCCTCCAGAAGGAAGGACAGTGTCAGCACCAATCCAGAGATGATTGGAGGATCTACAGCCGAGTGATCAGGGGTGTAAATAGAAATCACAGGGCCCCATAGCAAAAGTTTGTATGGGGCCCTGTGATTTCTAGTTACACCCCTTGCAGAGCCCACTTGAGATCCCACACAGCCCACCTGAGGGTGACCCCGCAGAGCCCACCATAGACTCTCTATGGTGGGCTCTACAGGGTCTCAGGTGGGCTGGTCACACTCCTTACCTGTCCGACTCCTCTTCCTCCACGGTCGCTGATGGACCCCGCCTCCGTCACCGGGCCCGCCTCCTCCGTCACTGGGCCCCGCCTCCTCCTCCACTGCCGGGTCCAGCTTCCTCCACTGCCGCTGCTGGCTCTCACTGACTCAGCAGCGGCTGTGGAGAGGAACGCACCGCTGCATAGATCACGGTCAGTGATCTGAACAGCGGTGCGTTCCTCTTCACAGCCGCCAGTGACAGACAGCAGCATGAGATGCCATAGCGACCCAGGCGGCCCGAACGGCATTAGGGATGTCCTGGCCGGGCCCCCCTGTGCCCCGGCCCCTATAGCGGCCGCCTGGGTCGCTATGGCAATTGTTATGCCACTGCGAGTGATACACAAATAAGATACATTGTTGTTAATAGTTATGGGACTTGAATGCATTTTTTATTAAGTTTAGTTTAGTGTCACTTTAATCACTGGTGACATTTCTATCATATTATAGCCATTTGTTTGTCTTTTAGAGGAGTTGTTTTCCCTGAATATACAAAGTAAAGGAAATGATGTAATCATTGTATTCCCAGTACTTGCTATAAGGACATCGGCTGTTACTCTTTTTCCCCGAAAATAAGACCTAGTACTATTTTTGGGAATTGCTAAAATATAAGACCTACCCCGAAAATAAGACCTAGTTGTGACTATTCCCTGGGCCGGTGGTGTCATAAGGGGGAACTTGAAGAGCCGCGGGAGAGGCGGGAGAGAATCAGCGGTGCCAACGAAGCCGGTGCTGGAGGAAGCGAGGCGGCAGCGGAGGGAGCAGAGCCGCATAACCCGATCCAACGAAGCCGGTGCTGGAGGAAGCGAGGCGGCAGCGGAGGGAGCAGAGCCGCATAACCCGATGCTTCCTCCAGCACCGGCTCCTGTCACAGGCGGAGTGATACCAAATGCACTCCGCCTGTGAGGAATCGACAGTGAAAGTGCGCTTCACTCATTCTGGTCAGCGATTGGTTATTGCTCTTGGAAAGGTACGGCACCTCTGGTCACCATATTTTTGTACATGAATACATGTAGACTTTCCTTCATGAATAAGTGTGGATTGTTGTACTTTAAAAAAAATAAAAATAAGACCTACCCCGAAAATAAGACCTAGTGTGTTTTTTGAGCCAAAAAAAAAAATATAAGACAGTGTCTTACTTTCGGGGAAACACGGTATGTATAAAATATCTGACAGAAGGACTGTCTGTGTTCCTTATAGCCATTGTCTGTTTTGTTTCTCAGACATTCTCCAGCCTGCAGAACATTACACAGAAGATAGCGGGGCTGACACTGTGACTTTCAGGGACAGTGAGTGGCAGGGGACTGTGCTGTGATACCCCGCTCCCCTCCCCCACCTCTGACTCCACAGAAAATAAAACAACGCATGCACTTTTAGAAACACATTACCGTTTCATTTTTTTTCCTGTCTTCTCAGAAATCCTAACTGTGGATATTTAGCAACATGTGAATAAGATCGATTTGCTACCTTAAAGTACACCTGTGGTTTCCCCTTCTGTTGCATTTGTGAAGATTTTATCTATTTGGAAGAGATGCATTATAGCTGAACTCCGACGTTTGTATTTCTTCCACATCTGTGCAGTAATCCAGTGTGAGAAGCTTCCTGTAATAAAGACCGGTTACTGCTGCTCTCTCTCCTTGTGCAAGGTGACTGGCCTTGTCTCCGCCCACTCCTGTAATAAGGACCTGTCACTGCTGATCTCTCTCCTTGTGCAGGGTGACTGGTCTTGTCTCCGCCCCCTCCTGTAATAAAGACCGGTCACTGCTGCTCTCTCCCTGTGCAGGGTGACTGGTCTTGTCTCCTCCCCTTCTGTAATAAGGACCGGTCATTGCTGCTCTCCCTCCTTGTGCAGGGTGACTGGTCTTGTCTCCACTCCCTCTTGTAATAAAGACCGCTCACTGCTGCTTTCTCTAGTGCAGGGTGACTGGTCTTGTCTCCGCCCCCTCCTGTAATAAAGACCGCTCACTGCTGCTCTCTCCCTGTGCAGGGTGACTGGTCTTGTCTCCGCCCCCTTCTATAATAAAGACCGCTCACTGCTGCTATATCTACTTGTGCTACCTGACTGGTCTTGTCTCCACCCCTTATATACTTACATACATTATTATGTAATGCACAACACTGTTAATGAATAAATGTCACTGTCACAGGTTCATTGACTCTGCCACAGGATGAATATTAGTTTTGGGGAAGTGTTTCTAAGAAATCTTAGAAATGTTGCCTCATTGGTGGGCATTGTGAAAGGTGGGCATTTCAAACAACGTGGTTTATTGGGTCACATTTTCTAGCATCGGTATTTGGTCACATGACACCTCAGAGCCACATAGTAAATTGGAACTGGACAAATGTTCCTCTGCTGCACCCACTGGTCTGAAGAGGTAGCAGGTCACTATAGAATGCCCAGCAAGTGACAATGTCCATGACTGCCACTCTGATCGATGTCTAAATGGTGAAGTTTCTTCTTGGTATCACCAGTCCAACATATCATATTTGTACTGGCCCAGAGAGCAAATGTCCCCACTGACCCTTACCCAGTCATTTCTGTGGACCGAATCGACCGAAACAGTAATTACAACCAAATATAATTCAATTTCCACCATATTCAGTCTACATACGGTTTATTTTATGTCTACCAAAAACTGTGTACTGGGAGGCCCTGCCTGACTGGATGCAGGCAATATGGATTATTTAGGCAGGACCTAATATTACAGAGCTTCAATAAGTTATAAAGGAGATTGAAAAGTGTACAGCTATCTTTATGTAGCTAATTTCTTTAAAGGAGAACTATGGGGTTAAGGCTTTTCCCCATAGTTCTCCTTAGGGTAACGGGAGGACACTAGTGTCCTCCCGTCACTCTAGGCTCAGTATACCGCGAGCTGTATCTCACGGTATACTGAGACGCCGCAGCTCAAGCGGATCTCGACAATTATGCCGGGATCCGCCCAGCTGCGTCACTGACAGCTGGCTCTGCCTATCTAGAGGCCGAGCCAGCTGTACCCGCCCCCTCCCCCGTCCGTTCCGCCAGTCAGCGCTGGTGGATCGGAGCGGGGAGGGGGGAATCCAGCCCCTCCCCTGTCACAGCAGAGAGCCGTGACAGGATCGAGAGGTGAGCGAACGCCGGTATGTGTTCTCTCACTTCCCGATCTACTGAAAAGCACCCACCTCATAGATCTCCTTTAAATCTCACATAACCTATTTCTTGTAAGGATAGATACATACAGTATCAAGATTGCTTACATTTACTCATGTCACATCATGTCATGAGCACCAGGGAGCCGCGCAATAAACATCGCCAAGAATGAGCTAAACTGTTTTTAGGGCTAGATCGTGCTGGACGCCCTCCAGCCAGAATATGAGGCGGGCTCGATCTGACTATACTCGGACTCTAGCTGCAGCTTTTAATGTACATTGTAAGAAGCTCGCTTTGTGCAGTGATATAGCAGAGGAAGCCATTGCAGTCCAGGAGGGGAGCCGGTACAACTGTGCAAGACTGAAGGTAAGGTCGGAGTTCACCCGGAAAATAAATCTTTGCTATGGAGCCTTACAGTTAGGGACAGTAGTGACATTACAGATTTGTCCAGTTATTATTACATAAAGCGTAATACCCAGAGGGACAGTCAGTCATCCTCCTGCATTCCTGGTAACAGTTCCTTGATGCACATGCAACATGCACGAGAGGTTCAGGTTACTGGAAAACCCCTGTGCATGCAAGCGTGACACCAAAGTAAATGACTGACCTGGAGACGGGTCTACAAGTTGTCAGATCAGCTGGTGATGGGTCCTTTGGCAGCGAGAACCTTGTCGCTTTTCTACGCCATCCGCCATTGCTATCGTGGTCAGAGATGTCTATAATCTGTTGTGGAACCAAAGCTTCTCGAATCTCATCCTACAAACCTCACCATACCCCACCCTGGCTGCTGAGCCTCTTCTTTGCTCTTCAGGTAAGTGGCGGCCTACAAATCTTAAACACCACAATCATGATAGAGAATATGGAACCTGTGTACAGTTTAACAACATATGGGCTAAAAACAGATGCAGCTTTATGCATAGCAGAACATACATAGATTGTTGATGATTCCTTTAGGGGTAGGTGAACTTTGGCCTTCCAGCTGTAGTGAAACTACAAATCCATGTTTCTGCCACTGGAAGTCTGTGCCTGTGGCTGTCAGAGCCTTGCAATGCCTTTTGGGACCTGTAGCTCCACAACAGCGTGGGCGAGGTTTGACTACTCCTGCTTAAAAGTAAAATTTTGGGCTTCAGATAGCCCCTGTCAGTTTTTGTTAGCTTTCTCGGTCTCACATAACCTCTCGGTCTCATTGGGGAGATTGACTTCCTGTCCTGTATACACAACAGGTGTCAACAAGTGGGAGGAAATCTCTTCAAAGTGAGAGAGTTCCTCACTTGGATATTAATCATGGGAACGAGTGTCCCCATTGGAAGATTTCACCCCTATTCTTGTTCTGGTGACCACCCAAGTTGTTGGATTTCCATCACTTTCAGTCTGAGGGACAATGGTAATCAGAACAGACAGAGAGACTGGATCTCCCCTGCAGGGGCACAGACCGCAATAAAAACTGTTCTTTCTTTTTGTGGTGTCCTGTTAAGGGAGATTTCCCTTCACTTCTTGTTATGGAGACACAACAGGAAGGGAGAATAAATCTCACTTGCTGTGAATCGACCAAAATCCTAACAATGTATGGCCAACCTTGGTCAACAAGTGATAACAAAATGATGTTTCTACAGGAGGCTTTGGCACCTAAGGTGTTTACCTGGATCTCCTTACCCTTGAAGAAAGCCTGTGACACATGTGGGAAGTTCAGACTGAGCATGAAAAATACATTAGTAGACGTTACCTTCAATGAAAAGATAAAATCCATCAGACAAGATGTGTAGACAGACAGCTGTAAAAGTCAACCTTGGCCTTTCTTGGTGAGCCTCCATGTTTGCCTTGGCCCTGCTAGCCAATGATACACGAAGGCAACAACAAGAGCACATTTTACAATCATAGTACAGTATTTCAGCTGCCTATAATTGGGTCTATATTGATGATATTGACATTTGGTTTTCACTGAAGGGGTAATAGTCACATTCAACTGGAGTTGTTCTGTGATGATGAAGACATTTCATAGCTTCTCTAAGCCAGTGTTTCTCAACCTGTGTAACCTCAGGACCCACATTTGTCCTCGGTCATTAAGCCGCGACCCAAGTTGCACTGCAATGGAACACACGGCAGAGTGGGCTGCTGTGCTGTGACGCAGCTCCATCCATATGTGCATTGCTTGTACAGCTCCAATGCGCACCTGTAGAGGTGCCGGGAGCCAGAATGTGATGTCACTCCGGTCCAGGCTCCTCTACAGGACACGCAAGGGAGCTATAAGCAATGCAGGCATAGATGGTGCTCCCTCGTGGCCATAGCCCCAGCCCACCTCACGTCGACACTCAGCGCTGGGCAGCATATTTTAAATGGCTGCTCTGTGTGAGAACTGACAGTTCTGCTTTAGGGGGAGGCTGAAGAGACTTTCACCTAGAAAAGTGGTTTGCATGTGGCGACCCACTTTTGGGTCACAACCCACCAGTTCTAAGCCACTTCTTCAGTCCCAAGTGGCTCCTCCAAGTCACTTCTTCAATTAGAACTGAAGAAGTGTCTTGGAGAAGCTAGAAAACATCTTCAACATTACAGAAAAAGTCCAGTTGAAGGTACTAACTACTAATAGCTATACCATGACCTGGATAAAGGACAACCTTCGCAGACATATTCACTGAAGGTAACTGCTGCCTATGTATTTTTCTCTTTATATGCCCAGTATGACTGGTCCAGGTTTTTGACAGTTTTACATTGAGATGCTCCTGCCAGTGGACAGCCAACTAGACTAAAAGGCCAAGCCATATAGACCACCAGATGTAGATCTCACCACATCAGGCTAACCTCCTCTATCATACGTAAATTTTCCATATCCATCATTTTTTCAAAGTATATAGTCAATACTTTAAAAGAAAGTCCAGAAAATGTTCATGTAATGCAAGCAGGAGGCTGGTGGTACCTACAATGCTTATTTCTTGATCCCAGCGCTTTTACTTTAGGTGTACTTGCATAACAGATAGAGTAGACAACGGTCAAGGTGATTCATCTACTTGGTTGTGCTGGTTTTATAACAACACCTTTTCAATAGAGATCATTTTTTCCTACTTTATATTAATATATATAGTAAGTCCTTCCTTTCCACAGATACATAGGTTGACAGCAGAGGTATATGTCTTTTAGAAGAAGGAATGTAGAAAAAAAGTGATTGGCAGATGGAAGGCAGCGCTCACTACATAAAAGGGATTTGTTTCATGTAAGCTTTGAATACATTATCAGAAACAACTGCAGTATGTATTCCTATTACAATGCTGATGTCATAACAGGAGAGGAGATGCTGGGACTTTAAGGATTTTGCCAGTTCCTTATTTGAAAACACCATCCTTGTTTCTTTTGGGTAGAACTGTTTTTCTTTTTAAAGATAGAACTATAATCTGATTTGTATTTGTTGGGTTGTGTTATATGTAACAGTTGTCAACTATCTGTTTCCAGCACCTCTTGGTCCAGACTTCCCTGCTCTGCACTTGCCATAACCTCCTCTACCAGAACTTCCACTTGTCAGCCTTGGATCAGAGCCATCTGCTGGCCAGTAGCCTCTTTGCTTGCGGAATATCCACCAGCCTGCAAAGTGGTCTCGGAACAAGGTAGGTGCTGAAAACTAATTTCTCATTGGCATCCTCAGATCGGACTCTGATTGGGCCAGGTCAGAGTATCTATTGATATCCACAAATATTAATTCAGGATGATGTTTAAAGTTTCTCCATCTTTCAAGCTGACCATATACAGTACATTGTACATACATATTACTGATTGTACAATCTTTAGATCTGACTTTTATGGCATGCAAGGTCCTGACTGGTTGCTTATGTACTCGCTCACATGACATTCATTTTTGGTACATCTAAAGATTATAACATGTATGGCCAGTTTTATTTGGGTCATATTATTGGTTGACATGGTTTCCTTTCACCAATGCTGATGCCTCACCTTCCATATATAAAAGCAATGGAAAGAAATGAAGCAACCAGCCATCTCCCCAGTTAAATAAAAAACAAAAACCTGCGCTTATGGAGGACAGAAAAGAAGAAAAACCGGACTAGCCAGAAGCTGCTAAACTCAGGCGGTATGCCTAAAAGGTTTAATCAATCTCCGGTATAGCGCTAAAGGCCTCACAGTGTAAAGGTGGCCATACACTTTACAACCATCGCAAGACCTAAGTCTTGCGATGGTTGTAAAGTAATTAAAAAAACGTACCATCTGCCCATCTTGGACAGGCAGGTCGTACTCGCGATCATCACAAGCCCGACCCCCTGAGGGGCGGGCTTCCGATGATCGCAATGCTGAACGGGCAGTGTGCGCGTGCGCACACCGGCCCGTGCGGCATTGATCTTACGATCATGCTAAAAACCAGCCGAAAATCGTACGATTCTCGGCTGGTTTTCTAGCGTGCTCCTTAGACAAAAGACGTGCGAGCGTACAGTAAAAACGGTCGCACGCCTTCCATACACTTTGTGATTATCGTACGATCGCACAGTGTATGGGCACCTTTACACCCAGATAGTGTTAGATTTCAGAAACGCAATAAAGTATCAAATTTAGTGCTTCGTAATAAGAATCAATCTCTATGTGAGTGAAAGTTTTGTACAACCTGTGACAAATGTATCTATCAAAGAATTAGCTTTACAGTATCTGTTTAAACCTCTCTCAAAGGAAAATCCGTGCCCAAACCAATATATAAAATACAGTTCCAACGAATGAATTATATACAATATATCTTCCAATGAACTGGCGCGGTGAAAAAATAATATAACAACAACCAATGTCCTCCAGTGAACAGATGAAGTGAAAAAATATCAACAACAAATCTCAAAAGATGTGTATATAAAAAATATATATAAAATGTAAATTTATCTCAGCGCTGTTTTTTATATAAATAAAAATCTCTTTTGATAGCCACGTGCTCCTGCATCTTCTCACAGGAAAGTACAGACTGCTGCATGCAATTACACACAGCACCTGTCCCTCTTCGGAGCAGGTCTCTGCAGGTCTCTGCGTAGGTGTGCACACTGTAGGGATGTGCATGCCCATTTGACTTAGCCCTTAGAGTACCCCTGGATGGCATGACAGCTGAAAACAGGCAGATGGGGTGACAATTTTTATATTTGTGAGTGGCCTTCAATCTTGCAATCCAGGGAACTGGATGCTATTGTTCCTCCTCTGACCATTTTCCCGGTCTGTCCCTCTCCCTTTTTTATTGAGTAGGGATGAGTGCAAGTTCTCTCCAAAACTTGATTTGATTGTGACCTGTTGACAGCGGCTGCATCTGTAAGTGGCAGTCTGCATGTAATCATACGTGATACAATTACATCATGTAATCGTATCACATATACGATTACATATTGACAGCCGCTTACACATGCGGCCGCTGTCACCAGGTCATTAAAGCGCACCTTTACCCCCTTTTGACTAAAAATCATATCAGCACACAGCTCTGCATGCTGACATGAAATCGTCTTACATTCATTAGCTAAACATACACATGTTTCTTTTACTTACAATTACTGTTTTTCTACTTCCTGATCCCACTTTGGCACAAATTGATGTAATGTGCCCAAGTGTTGCATCCTGGGAAGGTTACATCAGCAGAGCATTGCTGGGAAATCTCATCTGTAATCTCACGAAGTCTCGGGGAAAGGGATTTTCCTCCCCTGAGATGATGTGCATGGTCACATGTCCTAGTCACATGTGCCAGAGTTCCAGGAAGTAAAGGGAGATGGATTCATCTCCCATTAGTAAAAACAGCCGCTGTGAGAAGAATGGGGAGGAAAAGAAAAATAAGACAAAGCCGGCAATTATCTAGACGCATGTGTTTGTCGATTGTCATTACTAAACATTTCTAAAGGGGCTTTTGTTGTTATTTTAAAGATATGGGTAAAGTTCCACTTTAACTTGAATGGGTACAGTGGCTGCATCCACATGGGACATCTAGGATCCGTAGGTTCCTGCTGCAGGGATCCCAAATTGCCCTGTGTGAATGAGGCCTAAAAACCTAAGGTGGCTTTTAGCGCCTATCCCATTTAGCTGAACGGCTAGATATTCCTGAGATTGAGCTTGGAGGTTTGTGGCATTCTTAGTCATTTATTTAGCTTAGGAGGAGTTTCATATCTGTCATCACTATATTCTGACATTTAATTTTCTGGACTGGTCCTATTGGTCTTTTCCTGAACATCCCTGATTATGTTGTACTATTTTGGTTAGCGATAGTTAGTTTGGTTAGTATTTAGTAGAGTAGAGTTCATACTTATGTTCTTTCCCCTGCTGCAGTTTAGTCAACGCCAAACATTATCACTGTGGTGTAATTTGTCATCACGGACCAAAGAGTCACCACTCAGCATCATGGGAAGGTCTATTTATTCATAAATAGAAAAGGTTACTACCGGTACTAGGTTAATTTATTACACAAACCGGATCCACCGTGGTACATCCTGTCCAGGGTCATTGTACCTGACCCAGCTAATCATCCCATGAAAACTACTAGTTAGGGAAATTGTCAGTAGTAGGTATGAGGTTCGGGTTCATTGCTACTTTGGGTTCAAAGTGAATCCTACAGGTTCGAGATTACCGGTCCAAGCCAACTTACGTGCAGGGGAGATTCTTTTTTAAACCATATTGCACTGCATGGCCTATGAACTATGGCTTAGAAGGGCCAATAAGGGGGATTTTGTGAGGCCAACCCTCGCTATAAAAGGAGGGGGACAGAGCAGCCACAATGTCAGTGAACTGGAAGGTGTTGTAGGGAAAGCAGACAAACTGTATAGGGAGAGATTTTGGTCAGTTAAGAAACTGTACTTTAATTCTGATTGCTAGCTCTCTGGGCAATAACTACTTAACTGCCTTTTTAACGGCGGTGGGGGTATGTTCTTTCATTTTAATTTGGGGTAATTTGGGATTAGCGTTCACTTTTAGCTGCTGTCCCGTCCATAGCAAACAATTTGGTGAAGGGTTTGGAGAAGACAGGAGAAGTGACAATCTAGGGACAACATAGCTGAAGTGGAAAGTGATCTGAATTAGAGAATTTTTCCAGTTCAGCTATGTTGTCCTAGATTGTTCCCTTCTCCGCCCTTCTCCAAACCATTCACCCTTTTGTGAATAACCCTTTTAGGGTTTTCTTTTATTTGGAAGGGTATATTGGTTTTATTTTCTGTTGATAGGGCCTTTATTTTAGGGTAATCACTTTTTTGTCACAAAAGAACACATTCAGTTCAGCTAATAATTCCTTCACTTCAATCATTTTATTACCACACTCCTTCCAATTCCTGGAGGTCCTTTTTTGAAGTGGTAACCAAAGCTGAAATACATAGAGTCATTTTGCCCCTATACATATGACTATGTCTATCTCATTTGACAATACCATGCTAGCTTTAGAGGCCGCAGACTGGCATGGAGTGCTGGAGTTCATGATCTACAACAGGGGCAGGCAACCCTGGCACTCCATCTGTTGTAAAAACTACAAGTCCCATGAGGCATTGCAAGACTCTGAGAGCCACAGGCATGACACCCAAAGGCAGATGCAAGATGGGATTTGTCGCTTCAGTGCAGCTGGAGTGTCAAGGTTACCTGACCCTGGTCTACAAGGCACCCAGATCTTCTGCATTATTGTTTTACCCAAATTCTGGCCTTTAAAATAACTGAGGGTAAAAAGATGAAGGGGGGCACTAAGCGAAGTCGTAACATGTAAATTGTCCAAATCTCTGAAATTCAGGAACACTTGGCAGCTAAGGGGTTGTGTCTCTGCCTTTAGAGCTTCCCCCCACGACCCAAGAATGTTTGCATTACTTCTATATAGAACCTCTATAGCACAGGATCTGGAATATTGTTTTACCACCTATATGTCGTGCTCATCCATACTGACACATAGTGCTTATATGATTACCATGATATGCACATTATATTTCTTCCAAGATTCATTATTTCATTTGTTGATGTTTGTTCCCACACATTCTGTTTCATTTTCCAGGCTGCCCCTGGTGCAATCTCCGACATTCGAGCTGCTTGTCCCAGCTGTAATCCTAAGCAGGCACTCCGCTACTAACAGAACTATGGCTGGGGTTGGTGAGTCCCAAAACTAGCAAATACAGTAACTAGACAGTGTAGGAATATTGTGAAGATTCTCATAACGAATCTTAACCCTGATTACAGAATATGACATTTTTCCCAAGTAGTTGTTAAATGCAGTTATTGTTATATCAGCAATATACCGACAAGGAGTATTGATCTACCCCATGTGTTTGAGATATAAAAGAGATCAGCTTATTGTAACTAATATTATAGGTGAGTGCTAGTGTATATGTATGATATGTATATCAAACTTGCACATGACAAGGCAGCGCAAAGCACGAGCAACCATACAGGTTGTGGGACACATTTGAACCATAATGCCTCCCTCCCCATTGCTGTCTATAAGTACAGATAAGTGAATCTGCCCAAGACCAGTTGTGTGAAATGTCTTCAACATTCAGTAAATCCAAACCCAAACCCAAATGAAGTGTATGGGGGAGAATCTTAATATTCAGTTGTTCATTTTGTTGCACTGCTATGGGAGCATGTATCAATGGAAAACCTAAAAAATTAAATACAGCACAGAGAGGGCCTCTCTATGTGACTTTGAAGGCTATGTTGAAGATACAAAATTATTTAAATGCTAGGTTTTGGAGATGTGTTAAAGCATACATGGTCTTACAAATCAGCGTGATGTTCACAGACAGCCTTAGAGAGGTGGAGGAGAAGAGGGCACAATAGTAATGCTGGCATACAAGTGGTTGCTCTGCATCTAGGAGGATATAGGGGTAAAAGGTTTTGATATCCAGCCAACTATCTGCTGGGTGCACCGTGATTAAATTGGTCAGAAAAAAAGACACACGTGTCCAACCTCCACTTTTTGCAGGCCACTACCAGCTGCAGGACCTGCTCACCCCTACTTCTGCCATGCTCAGAACCTTTTGGGAGGTGAATGGAATGCCTTGCTGAAACTATGGCAATATCGGAACGAGGGGGAGGGGGGTACACAAGGGTATGTGCCTTACCACACTGCAATCTACAGTATAGCACTGTACACAGGATGTGAGTGGGGGCAGTGAATAAGAGCAGAGGCACAAAAGCTGAGTTGGGGCAATGAATAAGAGCAGAGACACAAGAGCTGAGAGGAGGGATATTAAGAAGTGCAGAGACACGGGAGCTGAGTTGGGGCAATGAAGAAGTGCAGAGACACAGGAGCTGAGTGGAGGGCAATGAAGATATGCAGAGACACAGGAGCTGAGTGGGGGCAATGAAGAAGTGCAGAGACACAAAAGCCGAGTTGGGGCAATGAATAAGAGCAGAGACACAAGAGCTGAGTTGGGGCAACGAATAAGAGCAGAGACACAGGAGCTGAGTTGGAGGCAATGAATAAGAGCAGAGACACAAGAGCTGAGTTGGAGCAATGAATAAGAGCATAGTTGGGGCAATGAATAAGAGCAGAGACACAAGAGCTGAGTTGGGGCAACGAATAAGAGCAGAGACACAGGAGCTGAGTTGGGGGCAATGAATAAGAGCAGAGACACAGGAGCTGAGTTGGGGGTAATGAAGAAGTGCGGAGACACAGGAGCTGAGTGGGGAGCAATGAATAAGAGCAGAGACACAGGAGCTGAGTTGGGGGCAATAAAGAAGTGCAGAGACACAGGAGCTGAGTGGGTCTGAAGGACGGTGGAAACTCTGAAAAGGTAATTTGCTAATGCTGACACGTACCCTATGGAATAACATGCAGTGTGAATTTCAATAACAGATCTGCTTTATATCAGTAAATTATTTCCAAAGAGCTTTTTTTTAGTAACAGGAACATCAGTAGAACCCAATGCAATGATAAACTTTCAGTGGACACATGCCTAAGGCTGGGCACACACCTTACAACCATCGCAAGACTTTTGTCTTGCAATGGTTGTAAGGTAATTAAAAAAACGTACGATCTGCCTATCTTGGACAGGCAGATCGTACTTGCGATGATCGCAAGCCCGCCCTGCTGAGGGGCAGGCTTTTCCGATGACCGCAATGCTGAACGGGCAGTGTGCACTTGCGCACACCGCCCCGTGCGGCTTTTATCTTGCGAACATGCCACAAACCAGCCGAACATCGTACGCTGTTTTTTTCGAACATGTTCCTAATTTAAAAGTCGTGCGACCTTACAGTAGCAGAGGTCGCACGGCTGCCACACACCTTACGATAATCGTACGATCGTGGGATTTCCCGCGATTATCGTACTATTATCGTAAGGTGTGTGGGCACCTTAAAGCTGATCTTCTGATTCAATTGTGAGAAAATATATCTCATCTGTTCCCTAGAGTGAGAGAACCTAATAGAATTATAGAACGTGTAAGAGGAAGATTAGATTGGCCGGAGTTGTTTGATTTGAATTATATGGCTTTGTTTAACTCTTTCCATCAAGGTTCCCCGGGACAAGAAAATTGCACAGGAATTGAGCAGCTGCAGAGTGACATCCAGCAAATCAGAGAGGTCAGAACGACTTTGGGGTATCGTCATTACCAATAGCTGTCAGATATACTGTAGATGTCTGGTAGCTATAGACATGTTTTCTTTCCTCCACTTGTTAAAGTGTCTGTACCATGATAATGAACTAATTTACTCCATTGTGGTCTGCTAAATATACAATTGAAAGCACTTTTCCTGCCAGAAATCTAGTGAGCTGAAAGCGCCCCATGCTCCCTACTAACGATGGGCTCGGTGCGTGTTCGCAGCTCCACTTGCCGAGCCTGCCAGGAAGCTGACAGCGCCAATCACAGGTTCTGAGACATTTTCCCGGTCCGCAGCTGCAGAGATCGGGAAATGTCTCAGTGCCTGTGATTGGCGCTGTGCGCTGTCAGCTTCTTGGCGGGCTCGGCACGTGGAGCTGCGAACACGCCCGAGCCCATCCTTACTCCCTACCTGTGCTGCACTCTTATCAGGTAACATTATTCCCAGCTATCTTTGTGGGCTACAGAACACCCCCTCCTCTCTTAGAAGAAAGTTTGATACTGGCAGGATCACCAGGTAAAAATTAAGGGGAAAAAGCCTAAAAATAGAAAACTAAAGCAGCCACAGTATCTAAGGACTGCAGTAGATTACATTTTTGTTCTAATAACAAAACAAAAAAACATGCAACGTTTTTTCTTATATTCATTTATTGCTCTCAAATTCAAAAAAGGTACGGTTAAAGGGGAACTAAACCCTAAAAAAATGCATGGATGTAAAGTTTTTTGTTTTTTTGTGGTAGAGGTGACTTGGTCGGTCTCTTATGCCAAACCCCCCCCACAAAAAAACAACTTCTTCCCCTTTCTCTTATGGCTGTGGCACATGCACAGTTCAGTGTTCTGTAGGATTCTGAGAATGAACCGGGTGCCATGCATGCTGAAGTGACATCATCAGTGGCTGCCCAGTGGCTAAATAGGGGAGAAGCAACAAAGATGGCAGCAGATGGAGTGGCAACATCAAGTGTGCATCTGTCACCCATGCAACTAGCAGTTCAATTCCACTTTAAGCTAATCACACATGTTACAATCTAATTGTACAATCCACTTTAAGTATCCCTGTACTGAGACAGGCATGAAGGCTGCCATTGCTGGCCTTCTAAAAAAGTTTGAGATGTCTCAATCTCTGACCCGCCTATAGTAGGTGAAGTCAGAGCAAAGTGAGAGCGCCTAATTTGCATCATGGTTCCAGGTCAATCAAAAACCTATTGAAGCCATTAGATCAGCACGGCAGGCAACTAGTATTTGTATGGGGGGCGGTCAGCTATGGTAGGGGACATGTTTCCTAAGTGCAAGTTTTCTTTAAATCTGTTAAAAAGTTTAGCATCTACCTAAAGAGCATTTTCAGCCTAAGTGCAAAATTGTCTCATTAATCCAGACCTGGGTCACCTGAAAGGAGGTAGGAGCATAGGGCCCGGTGGATGGATGTCCAGGGGCCAAGCTACAATCATTATGCTCCAGCTCCAGCATTAAACCAGGGAGTTTGGTCAAAGCTTTGCACCTGCCCGTCCCTTCACAAGGGAGGAAGAACTTGTAGTCATTTGTTGTCTGATGGGGCTACTCAAGTACCAACAATGCAAATGGAGAGACTGCTGCATGCCTATTTCAGTCCTTATGTATGTCAATTAAAAACATGGGGGTGGGGCAGAGCTGATAGCTTGTCTAGGGCCCCATTCTGCTTTAATCTGACTCTGCATTCGGACTGTTGGTGGAGACCAACATAGAAAGGGGGTGATCCTACAAAATCTTTGTAGACTGTTAGACTGTGCCCTAGGCGGATTTAGGCCTATATCCACCCCACCACTACATCATTGTCCTCTCTATTATAATCTGGATTCTGCACCAGCCAGTTGTTGGACCACAATTTGTAGAACTTAATAATGGCCCTCTTTGCTCTGTTTTACAGGTTTCAGGGGCATTGCTGGTCTCAGGACTCCTCAAAGTCCTCACAGGAACCCTCGGGCTCTGGGGATGGATTCTGCAGTCTTGTGGCCCAATGGTCATTGCCCCGGTGCTATCCATCCTTGGCCTCTCCTGCTACAAGTCAGCAGCGCAGTTGTGTTCCTTCAGCTGGAGCATCTCCATGGGGTAAGCCTAATCCAATCATGTTAATGGCAGGCTCAATCATATCTAGGTTTGCTACATGTAGACATTTGTTATTGTGCCCAACCTAAAACATCTGTATGTTCTCCCCACTATCCACTATGGTTCTGAAGCTGTAGTAGAAAGTTACAGGAGAACTATGAGGTGATTGTTTTTCACTCACCTCATAGTTCTAGCCGACCTGTGACAATGAGACTGTCACAGGTCAGCTCAGTAGATCGGGAGGTGAGCGAACAAATAGCGGCGTTCGCTCACCTCTCGATCCTGTGATGGCTCTGTGCCGTGACAGGGGAGGGGCTAGATTCCCCCCTCCCCGCTCCGATCCTCCAGCGCTGACTGGCGGAACGGACGGGGGAGGGGGCAGGTACAGCTGGCTCTGCCTCTAGATAGGCAGAGTCAGCTGTCAGTCACGCAGCTGGGCGGATCCCGGCATAATTGTCGGGATGCGCTTCAGCTGTGGCGTCTCAGTATACCGCGAGCAGCAGTTCGCGGTATACTGCGGCCTCTCAGTATACCGCAAGCTATAGCTCGTGGTATACTGAGCCCAGGGTGACGGGAGGACGCTAGTTTGTGTCCTCCCGTTACCCTAAGGAGAACTATGGGGAAAAGTCTTAACCAAATAGTTCTCCTTTAAAGTGACATTAAACCCTCAGATTTTTTAACATAAACCAATACTGTAATGTGCGCCTTACTGTAATCCATGGTTGTTTCCCTTCTCTTTGATGCTCTTCCTTTTAAAACTGTATCTGTTCTCATGCTTGGGGAGAACTTCCCTTTTCAGCAGACTGCCTTGTCAGACATGGTGTCTGTGTATACGTTTGTATAGGCTTGTAACCTGAGCCGGCACTACAGGAAGAGGCCCTGAGCTGAAAAGGGAAGTTCTCCCCAAGCATGAGAACAGATACAGTTTTAAAAGGAAGAGCATCAAAGAGAAGGGAAACAACCATGGATTACAGTAAGGCGCACATTACAGTATTGTTTTATGTTAAAAAATCTGAGGGTTTACTGTCACTTTAAGGACTATGAAAAGGAAAATGGAGCCAATGGCATCTGTCATTAATAATTTTAGGACAAACCTGTGCAAGTACAAACTTCACTTCCAACTGTGGATGAAATTCAGTATTACATCACATCTCTTTTAGCTGGAAGTCTGCAGTCAGGCACTGGTGGGATCCCTTCAGGTAACTATAAGGAGAGGCTAAAGTCACTGTCTTTAAACCAATTAAGAGGCAAACTATAATAGTTTTGGGTTGGTGTTATTTTAAATATTTGTATTTGATACATTTTTAAACTGATGTTGTAGATCTATTTTTGTACTTTACTTTTTATATACACTAACAGGGTTATTCACAAAAAGGTGAAGGGTTTGGAGAAGGAAGGAGAAGTGAACAATCAAGGCCAAAATAGCTGATTTGGAAACATTTTCCCATTCAGCTCACATTCCAGTTCAGCAATGTTGTCCTAGATTGTTCCTTTTTCCGGCCTTCTCCGAACTCTACACCCTTTTGTGAATAACCCTGTAAATATTTAATACATGGTTCAGTAGGATGCAAGATGCACAGCAAATTAAAGGGAGCAGAGCAGGAGCGGCTTACTTTCAGGGTCTCTCTCTCTCTGATTGAAACTTTGGGGAGCTATCTGTAGCCTGCAGGAGGAGGAGAAGGTACTCCTTTGGATCAACATACTGTGCGTCAAATGGAGCTTATTTTAAGTAATATTGGCATTTTCCAGCCCACAGCGCCATCAGTTGGCTGTAAATCTAAACTACACAAATACAATGTTTTATACTCACGCAGCTAAAATGAAGAAAAATATTATTTACCAAATTTGTATTTTATATTTGTAACCATAGCAAAGAAAATAAAATGTAACTCCACTATGCATTATAGAAAAATGGAGAGAAACTTCAGCACTCCACGATCCACTGCCCGGGCACAGTGCGGGTGCTGGATGGGAGCCATTCACTGTCCATAACCGCATTGTCCAAGAAAATGCAGCACAATGTTAACTTCATTTAACTTTATTTCAATCCAGCAGCCAGCATGGTGTAGTCCCCGTCTAGTAACCGCCCACCTATGGCGCATTTCACCTTCACAGGCTTACTCAGAGAGATGCATCACCTTTAAAGCCCAACTTCACCCCAATTTTGTTTTTGTAATTTGGACAGAGCAGGGAAGGGTTAGTGCCTCCATCGGGTTTTTATTGTCATCAGTGTTCCTGCTGTGGAGATTTCTCCCCACTTCCTTTTAGAACAAACTCTCCAATAGGAACACAGGCACAAACAAAAATATTTTATTTTAATAAGAAAAGGGGTTAGAACCTGTGACAATGTTTTATGACTGTCTGTGTTTTCCTTTTCCAGTGACAACTGCTCCCCCCATGACTTGTACGGGTGTCACAGGGACAGGATGTAAAGGAAAATCTCTCCAAAGGGGATTACAGATATTTTTTTTTAAAAACTAATAGAAATGTAAAATCTTCCCTACTTTATCCAAAACGTAAAAAAAAAATTGGCTTGAGTTAAGACAATTTGCTTATTTTGCCTTCTATGGATTGAAATTCCCAGCATGCCCCAGTTCCTCAGCTGAGCCTTGCCTGTTTATCATAGCCCCTGCATAGGCTGACCGATGAATAATCCTTAGTATTTGTACTTTGCAGCCTCATCGCAGCGACCACATTTTTGTCACAAAACCTGCATTCCCTTCACTTCCCTGTGTACATCTGGAACAAGAAGGGAGGAGATGGGAAGAAGTTTGCTCCAGTCTTTCGCATGTTGTCTGTAAGTACTAGGTCCTCGTGCCGCAGTTATTCGTACATAGACCAACGCAGTGCAGAGATTTATATTCTCTCTTTATGGTGATTGATTGACAGATGTTCCTCCCCATTTCCTGTATCTGGATCGTGTGCACTATCTGGGTCCCACATGAACAGACCGAGTTTCCCAGTGAATTCCGCCTGGCACAGAACACATCTGGATGCCTCACGCGCATGTTTGCACCGCCTCATGGAGGAAACGCAACAGAACTGGCCCCGTGGTTTCAGTTCCCCTCTATAGGTACCAATTGGTAAAATTATATAGTAACGTGCATAATCAGTGTACAAAGTGTGTTAAATGGTTTCAGAAGGTCAGAAGGTCAGATCCTCTGAATGGTTGTATATTGGTTCTGAATCTCAATTTTCTTTCTTTATTAGGATTAAATATTTGAACATTAATTTTGGTTTATATGAAATACATATATACATATATGTAGTCCTCTATTGAACCAGGAAGTGGAGCTCTTGGCTATTTCCAGTGCTTTCTCCTCCTATCAAATTTACAAACAAAAAGCCTGGTGCTTACAGAGATCAATAGATGAAGGTGAAATTAATGTATTCATCTAAGCCCACTCACCACTCTGACCACCACCCCCTCCTCCCAACTCAATCAGTGGTGGCAGAGGCATTCCTTGCATCTTTGTGACGTATAGCTGCAGTGGCATTCTTTGCCCCTTTGTGACGTATAGCTGCAGTGGCATTCCCAGCCCATTTGTGATGTATAGCTGCAGTGGAATTCCCCGCCCATTTGTAACATATAGCAGCAGTGGCATTCCTCGCCCCTTTGTGACGTATAGCTGCAGTAGCATTCGCCACCCCTTTGTGACGTATAGCTGCAATGGCATTCCCCCCTCCTTTGTGACATATAGCAGCAGTGGCATTCCCCCCTCCTTTGTGACGTATAGCTGCAGTGGCCTTCGCTGCCCCTTTGTGACGTATAGCTGCAGTAGCATTTGCCGGCCCTTTGTGACGTATAGCTGCAATGGCATTCCCCGCCCCTTTGTGATGTATAGCTGCAGTGGCATTCATCGCCCCTTTGTGACGTATAGCTGCAGTGGCATTCCTCGCCCCTTTGTGACGTATAGCTGCAGTGGCATTCCCCGCCCCTTTGTGACATATAGCTGCAGTGGCATTCCTCGCCCCTTTGTGACGTATAGCTACAGTGTCATTCCCCACCCCTTTGTGATGTGTATAGCTGCAGTGGCATCCCTTGCCCCTTTGTGACGTATAGCTGCAGGGTGGGAATGCGCTAGGAGGGGTTTGTCAGTCAGAGCTTTGAGCAAGCTGGGTTTGCACCATGCCCAGCCTTACCAATAATTATTATTATAATACAGAATTCATATAGTGCCTATGGTTTGCACGGCGCTTTACAATGTAAAAGTAGACAGTGCAGTTTCAATACAATTCGAGAATAGATGGTCAGGAGGGCCCTTGCCTAAATGGAGGGGCAAGTGATACATGAGGAGGTAGCTGTGTGGGGATACGGTGTATGAGAAAGTAAAGGTTCAATAGTTAGGTAGATGTGGGATAGGTTTTCCTGAAGAGATAAGTTTTCAGGGATCACCTAAAGGCAGACAGAGTAGAAGATAGCCAGAGGGGTTTGGGTAGGGAATTCCAGAGAATGGGAGGGATCCTGGGGGCAAACATGGGTTCATTCTTTGCCCAGTACCTATTATGTTCTCTTGTCTCAGTGACCACCTTTCTTACCGTTTGTCCACACAGGTGCCTGGGGATGGCCTCGGTTTAGTCTGGAGACTCTCAGCATGGGAGTTGCCATGACCCTGACCTCCAGCCTGTCTTCTCTAGGATGTTATATCTTATGTGCCCGAATGCTGTGCTGCCCCCCTGTCCCGTTTCACTCCTGCAACCGTGGCATATGCATGGAGGGTATTGGAAATATCCTCTCTGGAGTGTTGGGAAGTGTGTGCGGAGTCGGATCCAACATCCCCAGTGCTGGCGTTATCGGAATCACCCAGGTACTCAAAACGACCAGTGACACCTGCAACCTAAAATCCTGACCAGCTTTGTGGTTTTGTAAGATAGGATAGTAAACTAATCAACTCCTTGTTAGATCCTTATATAATACTCATAACATTGTTATATTTAAATTATATTCATTTATCAATTTATTAAATTATATTATTATTATTATTATTATTGTATTATTTTCTTTTTAGATTTGGGGATAGTAAGGATGTGAGCAGAACACGAGTATTTTCGTGTCTGTGAAGGTTTCCAATTATCCAGGTCATGGTATAGCTAGTAGTCAGCCACATGCACCTGGACTTGTTCTGTGAGGAACATACAACTGCATTCATAGCCACGTGGTCAACCCAGCCATCGTAAAGCTGAGCTCCAGGGAGATAATTCAGATCAGTAATTATTAGGGATGCACCGATACCGATACTAGTAAGTATTTGGGCGAGTACTCGTACTTGGTCAAATGCTCCTATGCCTATGCTCCTGTATCAGGAAGCCGGGCAGCGCGTCATTACACACTGCCCGGATTCCTGATTGGACGGGAAGCTGGCCAATTAGGAAGCCAGGCGACGTGTAATGAGAAGGGAGCATGGAGCCGGCTTCCCGGCCAATCAGGAAGCGGGGTGCTGCATCATTACACGGCGCCTGGCTTCCTGATTGGGCAGAAAGCCGTCTCAATGCTCTCTCGTCACATAGTGACGAGCAGCATGGGGACGGCTTCCCTGCTAATCGGAAAGCCGGGTGGCGAGTCTTTACACGCTGCCCGGCTTCCCAGCTAATCAGGAAGCCAGGTGGTGAGTCATTACACGCCGCCTAACTTCCTGAATGGGACTTCCGTTACTCGGTATTCGGTATCGGCGAGTACCGGAAAAATTATATCGGTACTCGTACTCGATACCGATATCAGTGCATCCCTAGTAATTCTAAATATATAATTAAATGTATTTTTAATTGCAAGCATTGTAAGTACCCAAATCTGACCTGGTATCAGCCTCACGTAGTCCCTGTACAGCAGGGGAAAAAGCTGCACAAGGAGCTGGTCAACAAGGTGACAAGCAGCATGTTGATAGGAAGATAGAGAAGTGTGACAGAGAGCTGAGCTCATTAGCCTGCTGATTCTTCTTTTACTATCCAGTCATAGGTTGTGAATGTGGAGGAGGGCTGTAAGTGAAGCTGAAACTGCAGCATAGAAAAATCAGGTCTCCTTCCCTGCCTGACAGGACTGTGCTGTGTGGCAAATCTCATGATTGGTTAGACAGAAAAATCATTTGGCAGGTAAAACAGTTCCTATATTGAATGCAGAGTTCAGCTTTATTCCAATCACCATAGTGTCAAGAAATGAGTCAAGACAGATGCAGATTGGTAAGAACATGGTGGTTGTAATGAGGTGAATGAGTTGCCCAAGTGGTTTACGTGTTCACAAAACGTGTTCAGACTGAAGAAGTGAAATACCTTCAACATTATGGAACAAGCCAAGCAGAATGTGACGATTATTCAGTTTTGGTAAAGGGATACACTGAAAAAAAAAAACAATTTCCATCAAGTTCTGCTATTACAAACCTCCGGTCCATTCACCAACCTTCAGTCAATCCAGAGGAAGGTGAACAATAATCCAAGGCAAAGCCAACTACATGCTAGTAATGGGGCTGATACACGATATTGGTTGAAATTATATCACCTCCAGGAAGGGTGAAATTTTTCCCCCAAACTTTTTAAGCGTATCAACATTCTGCTATAGTATCATTGACATGGAGGATACATGTAAAAAAATGCACACTGCATTTGCACTGCATTTGTGCAAATGCACAAAGTAGCAAATAATGTAACCCTTTGCTAACCCCTTGTATCATTTGCAATACATTGATTTAAACTGTTAGCAAGGAGGTGAATGATGCTACTGATGGGTGAAAAATCTGACATGTAGGTCACTTGTGGTCCTGGAGTATGATGACTGAGGATGAGTTTTGACTTTTCCAAATCCAGAATCTAGGTCAAGGTTTGCAGGTCACAGTGACAGGAAAGTGACATTGATAGATGTGTTTCGTTTCAGGTGGGCTCCCGTCACTCAGGCCAGTTGAGTGCATTACTGTTCCTTGTCTTGGGCTGCTCCCCCAAGCTGGCCCAGATGCTGATGACAATCCCTTTTGCTGTCCATGGTAGGCTTCCTTCTTTACATACTGTATATCTTGTGCTGATGTGTGGCAAGCTGCTAGATCAGGGGTAGTGAACTCAAATTCAAGGGGGTCTGGTGAATAACATTTTCATTGAGCAGAAGTCCAAATCGTGGTCCACATAGAACGGTCACTCAGTTCATGTTCATGCCACAGTCTAATATTTAGGCTGCATGCACATCGGCAGCTGCACTGCAATGCACGGCTGCTGGCATGTGTTCCCAGGCACAGTGCTGATGAGCTAATCGCGTTGCACTCTTTATTTTGTTGTTGTTAGAAGTTCCCTCCTTCCCGTTTACATACACATGCATGCTTTACAGGCACAGGTTCATTAGAGTCAGATGGTGGGGCGGCAGGGTTGGTTTTAAATGTTTTCTCATTTTTATTTTTATTTTTTTTAAACTTTTTATCACCTTTGTCAATTTTCTTTTCACTTAATGTTTGCCTTCATAAAGGGCTAACAAGCCCTTACTTGACAGCATTTGGAGGTGACAGGTTCTCTTTATGTAGACATCAAGGGGTCTATTAGATCTACAGGGGTCTACATCTGATATCTCTCCTGCTCTCCAATACAGATCATCAAGCACAGGAATGCGCTTGATAGTTTGTATACCTGGCACTGCAGCGAGCTAAAGTATGAAGCGCTGAGAGCATCACTTCATGCTTCAGTGAATGCAGAGCAGATCTTCCCCCGGTCTGCTCCTACTCTCCATCCTGACACTGTATGCTGTGGCCCAAAAATAATGACGATGGGGTGGGGTAGGGTGTGTCACAATCGTGGCTACTACAAGTGATCTGGGTGGCTGTACAGCTGGGCTATGGATGGCAGTGGAAACAGAGGCCAGTGTATCCGCTGTCAGCCAACCATAATCCAGTGCAGGTCGGCCATTGCGTTCCATACAGAACCGCCACTCGGTCTGTGTTCGGACCGCGGTGCGCCATTTAGTGACCCATGCCCATAGATATTAGTTATGGTGGAAGTTATTTGTAAATTGATGGAATGAATAATTCAGCATTCTTCATGGAAAGTGTCAACTGCTATTTAGTAACAATGACGGTTTCTTTTTTATTTATGATTTGTTTTTGCCCTTGTCAGTGAGTTCCTCTTTATGACGTCCAAGTAAATGCATCTTATGTATCCTTCTTGACCATTGTGACCCATTCTGCTCCTGAAATGTTTCATTGTCCTTCTTCCTTCAGGCGGCACGCTGTGTCTCACATTCTCCATGGCAGTGGGAGGTGGAGTCGCCTACTTCCAGTACGCTAATATAGACTCAGGAAGAAACATCTTCATTGTTGGCTTCACAATGTTCATGGCTCTGCTGGTTCCTCGCTGGCTGGATGCGATGCCAGCCAAAATAGACACAGGTGAGGAAAAACTCTGCAGTAGTGGAACTACTAACCGCAGCATGCCCAGTCCCAATTACCATAGCTTGTGCACAAGGCATGGCTACTGTGCTACTACAAATCCCGTCCACTTTGGGACAGTATATCCAAGCATAGACCACAGCTGGGAATTGTGTATGGTTTGCATTAATTTCCATCTAATGTTATACAACCTATCTGAATTGGACTCCGATCAGGTTCAAGTTTGAGTCAGAACCTCCAATCAGAATGTGTAGCAAAGTGTTGCTCTTTAAGTCTTGGTATACTGAGATAAGAGATCACTGGTTACATAGTTACATAGGTTGAATAAAATACATGTATCCATCTCCTAGTCTGACCAAAAGACAAATATAAATAAATAACCGGCTTCCTCAGATCCCTAAACCTGATTTGGATCCAATGGAAGGCACAAAAAACCCTTACCAAGTGGGACTCAAGTTACCGTAGCAAGAAAAAGTCCCCAAAGGCAATGGGATACACGCCGGATCAACAATCCAGTTCAAACAATAGAATGTTATTTCCTTATAAATATTAGCAGCCAGTTATATGTTTTTAGAGACATTTGGAAACACATCCAGATGTTTTTTGAAGCAACCTGCCAAGTTGGAGAGAATCAGCTCCTGTGGGGGTCTATTCCATACTTCACAGTTCCTAGGGCTCTATTCAAATCTGTCCATCAGTGCACTTTGTGTTGCGTGATAACGTGTGTTGTGATAAGGCATCCGAATCATTTGAATGAGCTGCCAATGCACCACAGGGCACCCGAAATCAGACCTGCACCCTGGGCTGGATAAGAAGCATCACAGGCCTGGTGCTGAGGGTTTGAGTGGGCTTTTTTATGGCGGTCAGTGCGGGCTCCAGACGATCAGTGTGGGCTCTAGGCTGGTCAGTGCGGGCTCTAGGGTGGTCAGTGCGGGCTCCAAGCAGTCAGTATGGGCTCTCAGGCAGTCAGTGCAGGCTCCATAGACTGGTGGATGCGGCTCTCTGCTTAGGCATATCAGAGGGCCCTCTGATATGCCTAAATAGGTTGCTGTCTGGTTGCGGGCCAGCCCGAATTGCCATCGGGCCACCTGCGATTCGGGTCGGCTCGGCCCACTCCTATGTTAATTCGGCCCTGCCTGCACCACATTCTCAATTGGAGTACACCACAAAGTACGGCAGTGTGCTGAATTAGTTTGTATGGGTGGCATTGAAAATAAATGCCAAATACATTCTATGTGCATGTAGAGAAGGATCCTTGCCCCCTATGTGTAAGCAGTGGTCTCTCTGCAGAGGTCCGAAAAGCCCCCCTGTGAGTTGGAGATAGAGCCTTCCAGTTAGCAGGTAGAATGAGTT